CTGTTATGATATTGAAGGTCCCTTAAAAGATAACACTAGCTACTAGCAAGCAAGCAAGTTAGCTAGCATCACCAGCAACAGAGAGTTCATTTAACCATCATCATCACTGCAGCAGTTAGCCTCTGGTTCTTCCAACTCCTCCTCCGCCTCCTCAACTGCCTCCTTTCCCTTGCCACTGCAACTGTCCTCCCCCTCTCTTGCTGGAGCTGCTGCCACATTGCCAAATGGGCGGCGCTTCTTGTAGCTGCGCCAGATCTGCATCACCTCATCGTAGTCGGGCTTGTAGTCGAGGAGAGACATCGTGATCAGGTCTTCAAGGCGGGCGTCTTTGAGGCTCCCCCGCTGCCACGATTTGATAACATTCTGGCGTTAGAAGCCGCACTCACACTCCACTGTGCTCAGCGGCAGCACAGCGACAGCCACCCAGAGACGCACCAGTTTGGGGTAGCTCGTCGTCCAGTCGCTTGTCTTCAGTATTGCAGTTAGCCCAGCATGGAAGCTGCGCTCGTTCTTCGGGGCATCTGCGAGGATGGGGCAGAAGGTACGCAGTTCTTTGATCGGCCGCCGCTTATCGATCCCTGCCAGATTAGAAAGAAGGGAGAGAGAGAGGGGATTAGAGAGCCTGGCATACCCGTTCATAATACAGTTTTAACCTGCAAAAAAGCACCTCATGGACAGCATGAATGTATGCAACGGGAATACCTGGAATGATGTAGTCAGTCTCCTGTGCCCTGAACAGCGTCACGAGTGACATGAGCACTCTAGACACTGCTTGTAGCGCTTCGCCCTCCCAAGCTCCCACTCGTCTGGCATGAAGAGCCTCACTCCCACCAGGGAGTCCAAGTCCTTGAACCGCCTGCTCAGGTTTCGCACGAGCGTCTCGGCGAACGTGGTGCAGAGATCGACGCATGCGTCGTGAGTGCCGAGGATTGGGTAATCTTCGTTTGGGTTCTCGTGCAGCTGGAAGGTGTTCTCAAACTATATATGTGCTGGTTCTGTGTAGGCTATAGTGGGGTAGCCTGTATGGGGTACAACCCAATGTTAGGGTTAGTACTTGTACCCACAATTCTTTCAATGCAGTCATTCTAGCTTCTCATTCTGACATGGTTTCAGAGCAGTAGGACCGTAGGACCGTTGTTTTTTCCGGGCCCACCATTCCGACTATGGTTACCGCGTTACCCCACTGCCCTGCCCGAACTGCCCGTACTGCCCTGCCCTGCTTGCACTGCCCTGCACGGCCTGCCCTACCCGTTGCGCTGCCTGCACAGCTGCCTAGCGCGACCCGATCGCGCTGCCCTGCTAGCGCGCTTCCTCAGGCCTACGCTGGCGTCGCGTGCGCGCTGCCCCTAAGGCCCGCCCTACCCGCGATCTGCCTGCACAGTCAGCACGCGGCCCTAAGCGCCCTGCCCGCCCTGCCAGCGCTGCAGCCACTGCTACGCTGCTGCTGCTGCCAGCACCGCACTGCCCCACCGTGCCCGAGCCGCGCTACACCGCCCGAGCCGCGCTGCACCGCCCGAGCCGCGCTGCACCGTCCGAGCCGCGCTGCACCGCCCGTGCCGCGCCGCCCTGCTGAGCCGTGCCGCCACGCCTAGTTGCCTGGCAGACCGGTTTCTACTGCTGCACTGCTGCTTCTACTATTGCTGCTGCTAGTGCTACTGCAGCTGCTACTGCTGCTTGCCTGCAATCGCTCTGCCCTGCCAGTCCCACGCCAACAGCTATTGCCACCCTCCGCGTTCAGTCGTTCGATACCGAGGGCCGCCCGATTCAGTTTGAGACCTGGCTCGATGACCTGCAGCTGTTCCTAATGAGCGATAGCAAGGATAGTGTCTCTCTCTTTGACCACACGTCTGGTGCCTCAGTCGCTCCTGCTGCCACAGCTGAGCTTAGCGCCCATTCCCAGTGGCAGATTCGTGACGCTGCAGCTCGCCTAGCCGTTCGCAACCACCTGCCGTTAGACGAGCTCACGCATTTTGGCGAACACAAAACCGCTAAGGCCCTGTACGACGCTGTAGTTACTCGATACTCCTCCCCTGCCACCGCTGCACTTAGCCGCCTCATGCTGCCCTACCTGTTTCCTGAGCTGTCCACCTTCGACACAATTGCCGATCTTATCACCCACCTTCGCACTAGTGACACCCGCCTTCGCGCCGCCCTCCCCAAAGAGTTCTTAGCTAAGAACCCGCTTCCGATGTACTGGACCCTCCACTTCATAGTGACCCGTCTCCCTGACTCTCTTCGCTCGGTCAGGGACCACTTTCTCGCTCGCTCTCCCAACGATCTCACTGTCGACCTCCTAGAGGAGCAGCTTCTAGCCGCTGAGACTAGCATAGTCACTGTAGGTGCTGCTCGTGGCGCTCCTCGCACCCTCATCTTTGAGGGTGCTCTCCCTCTCCCCTCGCCCCCTCCTACGCTACTGCCGCTGCTGTTGACTTCCTTGGTGCTGAGTCTGTTGCTGCTGCTTCTGCTCCTAGTGGGAGGCGCTGCAGCGGCAAGGGCAAGGGAGCCAAGGGCAGCGGAGGTGGCACGGGGGGGGGGGGGTGGTGGTGGAGGTGGAGGAGGAGGAGGTGGCGGAGGGAGTGGTGGCGGGAATGGTGGCGGGAGTGGTGGCGTCGGTGGCGGCGGTGGGAGTGGCGGTGGAGGCGGTGGCGGCGGAGGGGGTGGCGGCGGCAGTGGCGGCGGCGGTGGCGGTCGGGGCGGCGGTGGCGGTCGGGGCGGAGGCGCTGGCGCTGGCCAGAGACAGCAGCAGCAGCAACGTCCCCGTAAGGCTCTTACGCCGCAGCAGCTTCGTGAGTGGCTTGCTCAGCGTGGGACGTCTGGGGGTAGTGGTCGCTGCCCGTATGTCATTCGCGCAGGTGACCGCGCTGGTCAGACATGCGGGAAGTTCCACACCCAGCACCGCTGCTTCTCCCGCCTTAACGACGCCTGGTGTGAGGAGATGGGCGAGGAGGTCGAGCGCCCTCGCTGGCATGAGCTGCTTAGGGCTTGTGTAGACATCTTTGCTCTTGACTATGATGCTATCGTTGCTGCCATGTATGCATTGACTGTTAGTGCTGAGGGAGACTGTTACTTGTGTGTGCCGCCTGACCCAGGTATAGAGGCTGCTGCCTTAGGGCGAGCGAGTATGCTTTCTCAGCTACTGCGCCTGCTGAGGCCTTGCACACCTTGACGCTTGACTCAGGTGCTTCCCGCTGTTTCTTTCGTGACAGTACTGCACTCACACCACTCACTGCACCTGTTGCAGTCTCTCTGGCTGACCCCTTAGGGGGCCCAGTTCTTGCACGGTCCACCACTGTGCTCCCGTGCCCGGCGGTTCCGTCTGGCTCACTGTCAGGCCTCCACCTCCCCTCGTTCTCTACGAACTTGGTGAGCAACGCAGTTCTCCAGGACCAGTGGGTTGACACCTTTACCCCTGGAGGACAGAGTGTGGCGATCTGTACGTGCTCCCGGACCGGCCGCCACGTGGCCACGTTTACCCGTCGGCCAGGGTCGAGTCTTTACACACTGACGACTGTGCCTCGTCAGGTAGCTGCTACTGGTCAGGTGTCTGCGTCAGGTCAGGTAGCCTCCCCTTGTTCGTGTCGCTCCTTGTCGCACCAGACTCTTCTCTGGCACCACCGTCTGGGTCACCCCTCCTTGCCACGTCTGCGTGGCATGCACCGTCGCCTCCTTGTGTCTGGTCTTCCCAGGTCTCTCCCTCCCCTCCCTCCCTCGCCTGCGCCGCCCTGCCTTCCTTGCGTCGAGGGGCGGCAGCGCGCCGCTCCTCACTCCTATTCGTTTCCCCCAACAGAGGCTCCACTACAGACCCTCCAGATTGACGTGTGGGGCCCAGCCCGCGTTCATGGACATGGCGGCGCGCGGTACTTTCTGCTGGTTGTCGACGACTACTCGCGTTACACCACGGTCTTTCCCTTGCGCACCAAGGGTGAGGTCCCTGATGTCCTGATCCTTTGGATACGAGCAGTTCGTCTCCAGCTCCGCGAGCGGTTCCGCCAGGACCTCCCTGTCCTGCGTCTGCACTCTGACAGAGGTGGTGAGTTCTCCTCCGACCTCTTGCGGGCCTTCTGTCAGGGGGAGGGCATCCGCCAGTCGTTCACGCTTCCGGCCTCACCGCAGCAAAATGGTGTTGCTGAGCGCCGCATTGGCTTGGTCATGGAGATTGCTCATACCTCCTTGATCCATGCAGCAGCTCCCCATTTTCTGTGGCCGTTTGCGGTCCGGTACGCTGCGCAGCAGCTCAAGCTCTGGCCCGGTGTCTCCTTGCCGGAGACCTCGCCCACACTACGTTGGACGGGAGAGGTTGGCGATGCGTCGGTGTTCCGGGTCTGGGGTGCTCGTGCCCTTGTCCGCGATACGTCCGCGGAGAAGCTCTCCTCCCGCACCATTCCCTGCGTCTTCCTCGGCTTCCCCCTGCGCCTGGCTGGCAGTTTTACCACCCCACCTCGCGCAGTGTTCTGTCCTCTCAGGACGTCACCTTTGACGAGTCGGTTCCTTTCTACCGTCTCTTCCCCTACCGCACTGCCCCTCTCCCTCCCCCGCCGCTTTTCCTCGCTCCAGGTCCCCCTCCGGTAGACCCCCTCCCTCCTCAGGGTCCTGCTCCTTCAGGTGTGTCTCAGGTAGACCCACTCCCCTTGGCTGAGCTCGTGGAGGTCACTAGCAACTCAGGTGCTGCTGCGGGTGGTGCTGCTCGGGGTGCTGCATTTGGGGGTGATGAGCCTGTGCGTGAGGTGCTGGGGGGTGCTGCGTCTGGGGGTGCTGAGCCTGTGCGTGAGGTGCTGGGGGGTGCGGAGCCTGGGGGGCTGAGCCTGGGGGTGCTGAGCCTGGGGGTGCTGAGCCTAAGAGTGTGGAGCCTTGGGGTGCTGAGCCGGAGGGTGCCGGGTCTGGGGGTGCTGAGTCTGCTGGTGTTTACTCGGGTCGCTTTTCACGACGGGGGCCTCTCTCACCACAGCAGCTACGAGAGTGGCTTGCGTGGCGTGCCCGCCTGAGGAGTCGTGCTGCTTGAGCTGGAGGTCCTGCTGCTGGAGGTACTGCTGCTCGAGGTGCTGCGGTTGGAGCTACTAGAGCTGCTCGTCGTGGAGGCGCTGAGGGTGCTGGTGTTTCTGGTTCTGGAGGTGCTCGTACTGGAGGTACTGGAGCTGCCAGGACTGGTGGTGCTGCTGGAGCTAGAGGTGCCGGTTTTGGGGGTGCTACTACTGGAGGCACTGGAGCTGGTGCTGTCGATCCTGGAGTTGGAGACCCTGCAGCTGGAGGCACTAGAGCTGGAGACCTTGGAGCTGGAGGTGCTGGAGCTGGAGGCGCTGGAGCTGGAGGCGCTGGAGCTGGAGACCCTGGAGCTGGAGGTGCTGGAGCTGGAGGTGCTGGAGCTGGAGGCGCTGGAGCTGGAGGCGCTGGAGCTGGAGGCTCTGGCGCTGGAGGCGTCGGGGCTGGTGGCCCTGGAGATGGAGCTGCTGATCCTGGAGGTGCTAGTCCTGGAGGTGCTGGAGCTGCCCGAGCTGGAGGCACTGCGGGCGCTGGAGCTGGAGGCGCTGGCGCTGGAGGTGCTGGAGCTGGAGGCGCTGGCGCTGGAGGTTCTGGAGCTGCTGGTCCGGGAGGTGCTAGTACTGGAGGTACTGCTGCTACTGGAGCTGGTGGTGCTGCTGGTGCTGGAGGTGCTGGTGGTACTGCACAGCAGCGACTGTTCTTCGCTCCGCCGTCACCTTCGTCTCTGCCACCGCCTAACTCCGCGCTTCGCCAGGTTCTTAGCCTCCCGTCTTCTACTGCCCTCCCGTTACAGCTTGGCTCTCCGCTCCCTGCTCCTTCTCCTTACACTGAGCAGACAGACTTGCTTACATTGCGTCGTGAGCCTGCGTCTCGTCCTGCCTCGCCTGTTCACGCTGGTCGCACTGGTCGTCGTGTTCCTCGTGAGCGTCCTCCTCATGTCCTCGGCACGCACACTATGGCACTTCGTCCTTCCTCTGTTCCACAGCGTGTTCCCCTGCCGTCTCCTCCTGCGTCCTCTCTTCCGCACGTTCCGGACACTGAGTCTGACTTAGCTCGTGCTGCCAGCCCTATTGTCACCCGTCTCCTGGCCACTGTTGTCACTGACCCTTCGTTTGAGTCTGCTGCTGCGTCTACCCTAGTTGCTGAGCTTGTCGACTTTGCTGCTCGCTTTCGTCTAAACTACGCCACTAGTCTTGTTGCTGAGTCTGAGTCTGTCTGTCCTCCGTCCGTCGGGGGTGAGTGTGCTCTTGGCACGGACGTCCTTGAGGACAGGCAGGAGGACTTTGAGTGTTTTGCAGCTGCTGTACCTCATCTCGTGTCCATGTTGATTGCACCTGAGGGAGACCCGGATGCACCAGACATCCCAACCCCGCGCTCTTACGCAGAGGCAATTGAGGGTCCCTACTCCTCTCAGTGGCAGTCAGCCATGGACGCAGAGATGGCATCCTGGAAGTCCACATGCACTTACGTCGACGCTGTTCCCCCACCTGGGGCGAACATCGTCAGTGACATGTGGATTTTCAGGGTGAAGCGGCCGCCGGGTTCTCCGCCTGTCTTCAAGGCGCGTTACGTGGCACGAGGCTTCAGTCAGAGACAGGGAGTTGACTTCTTCCAGACCTTCTCCCCTACCCCAAAGATGACCACTCTTCGGGTTCTGCTGCACGTCGCCGCTCAGCGTGACTACGAGCTTCACTCTCTTGACTTCAGCACAACTTTCTTGCAGGGCAGCCTGCACGAGGAGATCTGGCTGCGCCGCCCACCTGGCTTCACTGGGTCGTTTCCTGCAGGTACCCAGTGGAGCCTCCGGCTGCCAGTCTACGGTCTCCGTCAGGCGCCTCGCGAGTGGCACGACACACTGAGGACGACGCTTGCGGCTCTTGGGTTTGCTCCTTCGACTGCTGACCCGTCGTTGTTTCTGCGCATCGACACTTCGCTGCCGCCGTTCTACATCCTCGTATACGTCGACGACTTGGTCTTTGCCACTGCTGACTTTGAGGGACTCGCCCACGTGAAGTCGGAGCTCCAGAAGAGACACACGTGCATAGACCTGGGAGAGCTGCACAGCTATCTTGGCACCCGGGACAGAGCACTGCGCACCATTACCCTGACTCAGTCACACTTGGTGCAGCAGGTCCTTCAGCGCTTCCGCTTCACGTACTCCTCGCCACAGTCCACTCCTCTGCCTACCGGTCACTCGCTCTCAGCTCTGCCTTCGGATGAGTTTGTAGAGCCGAATGGCCCGTATCCAGAGCTTGTGGGCTGCCTCATGTACCTGATGGCCTGCACTCGTCCTGACCTTGCTTACCCTCTTAGCATCCTGGCACGCTACGTTGCGCCCGGGAGACACCGACCAGAGCACTAGGAGGCCGCTACGAGGATGATGCACTACTTGTGCAGTACGTCGGGCATGGGGCTCGTGCTTGGAGGACGGGCTCGAGTTGTCCTCACTGGCCACGCAGACGCTTCTTGGGTTGACGACTTGGCTACGCAGCGGTCGTCACAGGGTTACACCTTCAGTCTTGGCTCCGGCTCTGTTTTTTGGCGGTCTACCTGCTCATCTTCTGTTCTCAGTTCCAGTTGTGAGGCTGAGATCTACGCAAGGGCCATGGCTGCACAGGAGTGACGCTGGCTCACCTACCTGCTGACCGACTTGGGAGAGGCGCCTCGTTCTCCTCCAGTTCTGTACGTCGACAACAAGGCCATGATTGCCTTGTGTCAGGAGCACAGACTGGAGCACAGGACGAAGCACATCGCTCTGCGTTACTTCTTTGCTCGAGAGTTGCAGCAGCGTGGACAGCTTCGTCTTGCTTACGTGGCCTCTCGGGCCAACACCACTGATATCTTCACCAAGGCACTTCAGCCTTGTGATCATCAGCAGTTCTGTACTGTGCTAGGACTTGTGCCTACTTGGCCTCACTTGCTCACCTCTTGACTTTGCTTGTACTGTGATCTATATTGTATACCTGCATGCCTACTCCTGCTAGGTAGTGATCACTGTACTGTTGTTGTTGCATATATACCTCTGCATGTGAACTGGCCTTGTGGCCCTTTGCTTGTGCTCAGAGTGTGTGGTGATGTTGTGATCCACCCTGAGCTTGCTTTGCTCTTCTTGACTGGTCTTGTGACCCCTTGTTCCCCCCCACTTTGCCTATGGGGGTATGTCAAACTATATATGTGCTGGTTCTGTGTAGGCTATAGTGGGGTAGTCTGTATGGGGTACAACCCAATGTTGGGGTTAGTACTTGTACCCACAATTCTTTCAATGCAGTCATTCTAGCTTCTCATTCTGACAGGTGTGTGTAGTCGGCCGACCGTCCGAGTCCACTCCCTGCACCTTCACCTTGGGGCGGCCCCCCTCAGGCCCGTGCTTCTTGATGAACGGGGAGAGGTACACGCTCATACCGCCTCCAAAGTCGTCACCACGTCGACATAGTGGGACTCAAGGAACGACAAGGATCTCCTGACCTGCGCATGGACACCTGCAATGTCAAGCTAGTAGAGGCCGATAGGCAAAAGACAGAGGGTGAAAGCAAGGCAAAATCAATAAAAAATGCAGCATGTAGTTGAGCTCTACATTAAATCAGTAACAAGCACAAAAACAAGCGAATCACACAATAATGGGACATCTTGGGAGGTGCAGCAGATGCTGTACAAAGAGATGCTAGTAACCCTGCTCACCTCTTGCTGCTTGAATGCCCTGTTCAACATGTTGAGCTGCTCGAGCACGTCTGCAAGGAAGTACAAAAGGAAATGAAACCTGTAACGGCGAGTTCGTACAGACTGCTGTCCCACTCATACAGCATGCCGATGAGCGCGGGGAAGACCTCTACCGCGCGCAACATGGCGTCACCCCTAGAGAGCCACCGGACTTGGTGAATCCCTTGGAGCTCCAGGTTCGTGGCGGTGAAAACCTCATGAAGCGCAACAAACCGCTGATGCCAAGGGCCAGAACGCCCCAGATCCTCAGCCACTTGGCGGATCAGCGAGTGGACCATCTCGAACTCGGGGAGTGCTTCAGCTGCGTCTTTTGCTACGAGCGCCTCCCTGAATTCACAACAACACACATACCGGCACCATGAGGCATGAGAACGGGATGCTACAAGGATTCCAGATAAATGGAAGCACATGGCACAACGTACCTGTGGGTGATGCGGGATGCGGAGGCGAAGTCGAGCGACAAGACCGTTTTTTTTTCCCATCATTACACTCGCTCCGTCAGTGCTCATGCCGGAAATCCTTGCAAGATCGATGCCAAGGGCCTGCAGGTGGGACACGAACACTGAGAGGAGAGAGGCGGCATCGCCCTTCTCCACAGTCAGCAGCGCAAGGAACTCAGTGTCGACACGGTTCTCACGGATGAACGTTGCAAGCTGCGTTGTGTGCAACCACGTGGCCATTGACTGAGTTAGCTGCCCGAAGCCGTATCTACAGCGCATGTTAAACAATATCATGTCAGAGAATAAGAAGGGAAACACAACCACGTCTTACATGTCTAGAAAATGTTACTCACGTAGTGTAATATGTTCCGTAGCCTTTCGCGGGGAACCCAGGAACCTTAAGACCCGCAAGGTACCAAACAAGAGGAGGGAGTCCAGCAGCTTGATGACACATTCCTTCTCGGTGTCGCGAGCAAGATTATGGCCGTTGATCCGTGGCTAGGTGGCAGCTTCCGAGAGTAGTTTTTCCTGGTGTTTAATCGCCTCCTTGTGCTTGGTTGTTGCTGCATGCCTTTTGAACGACTGCGTCTGAACGTCTGTGGTGCCCTTTCTGCCTCTCCCGCACGGTCCAGCGTAGCCTGTGTGCTCCGTACAGATCCTGCACTTGAAAGCAAAGAGACCGCCAGAAGATTTTAGCAAAATAAGCCAAGAAAACATCTCTAGCCACTCGCTTTTGTACTTATACAGAGCCTCGGCGTAAATCGCGTCAGGGCCTGCCGGTTTAGAAGGCCCTGGAACTGATGGCGACGCTTGTGTGCCTGCCGTCGCGGGCGACGACTGTTGGTCGGCTGGTGAAGGCGGATTAGCTCCATCGATACCTCCCTTCTTGCATCACGGCAGCGTTGACTGCGTGAATTTGGCGTTCTTCTTAGCCACTTGTTCCGCCGTAGTTTCTTCAACAGAAGGCGAGGAGCTGTCTTGATCTAACACTGGCGTTGTAGGGGAGGCACACAATCCCTCATCTATGGGTTCGAATGGAATAAAGTCGGGCGGCGCGACTGCAGGTACCTTTTCATGGTTGTCGACCTGCGCGAAGCTGGAGAAAAGCAGATCCAGGCCGGTAATAGCAGCGGAAACATCAACTGGCGAACAACGATGCGCATCATCGCCTTGGTCACCAGTATTTTCCATGCCGTCCTGGGGGTCCGCCATAGCTTGCAGCGCTTCTAAGCAGCATCATGCGAAAGGTACGTACTAGCCTAACTAGGAAGAGAATAGCCAGGGAAACCACACGGCTGACTGCCTGTTGGTACACCAGGCAGGAACGCGATGAAACCCCAAGCGGATGGAAAGGAAGCATGGAGCAGAAAGGGATGGGAGCCAGGATGGCAGGTAGTGCGGAGATTCACTCGACAAAGTTTGTGAGATAGACTACGGGGGGTTAGGCACGAACTACTAAGAGTGATCGTAGCTTTGCTTGCGTTCCTTAGCACTTGCACATTCACGGGAGAAGCTGGCAAGAGTTTCATTAGGCAAAGTTGAAATTACAGATTTTTTAAACAAGCAATGACAACAATGACTACATCAGGCACCTAGCAATCCTGCAGCTAGCCTGGTCGACCGCCAGCACAGCTTGGTCGACCGCCTGCCAGCGTTGCGTAGAGGAGCCGCGCTAGCACTGCAGAAAGGCGACCTGCCAACACCGCAGGTCTTTGGCGTGCCAACGCTACAGCAGTGCGGCTGTCCAGCGTTGCACCCGTAGATGGCAGCAGTGTGCACACTCGCAGGTGCGCGCAGACGATTGGCCCGACTTGCATCGTTGTCTGCGCCTGACGAGCCACATCGACTTCGGGATACCAGCCCGAAGTCGCATTCGCCATCGCGACCTTGACGACGTTTGCGTGCCTCCGCAGAACTCGTGGAGCAGGTTACCCGGTCGACCTGGTCGACCACCAGGTGCTTCCGGTCGACCACCACTGCCTCTGGTCGACCACCAGGTGCCTCTGGTCGATCACAGCTCATGTCGAGCTACCCCCTGGTCGACGGACCCCTTCCGTTGACCGGAACTGTCAGCTGTTGTCGCCGAGCTCCGCTCGTCGACCGCTGCTCACTTGTCAGGTCGATGGACTGCTCCGTCGACCTCCCGGTCGAACTGCAGGTCGACGGACTGCTCCGTCGACCTCCCGGTCGAACTGCAGGTCGACGAACTGCTCCGTCGACCTCCCGATTGAACTGCCCCTCCTGGTCGACGGCCCACCCGTCGCTCAGACGAGTCAGAAGCAATTGTCGAGCTCCCTGGTCGACAGCAACACCACAGCGGTCCCCTGCAGCTCGACGAAGCCTGTCTAGCAGCTCTCCCACTGTGAACGGTCGGCTGCTACTCCCGTGCATCCGACCAAGTCGTCGGCGTTGCCCAAGCAAGGGCGGGGCCAACACTCCACTCCCGTTAACAGGTAGCACGGCTGGGCGGCGTGGATGCATCAGTGCTTGCCAGCACGACCTAGACAAAACGGGCCACAGGACCACAGGTGCAAGCAATGGGCCAGAAACCCTCGCATCGTAGCCTGCCAACATCGCTCTGTTGCAACATTGTCATTGGTCAACCCATGTAATGCTGCAAAAGTGGCCAATGAGCGGACCTGGCACGCCAACAAAACAGCCCTCAAAGTGAATAGCACAAACCAAATTTGTATGGTAGTTACCGACAGGCGGTGCTGACACCGCGGGAATCTCAGATTCTCTGTACTTCCGGGCAACTACACTCGGAACGTAAAGGAATGGCATTCAGTGGCAATTTTGTTACAACGTAGTGGAATCAGTGTCCCTTAAAAAAAAACCTGAAAGTTCAGAGTTATTTGGCAGATAAAGGCTGAAAAATCAGTCCCACAGAAAGCTGAACTCTGGAAAATCAGGGTAGGTAAAAAACAAATCTCTGAAAATCAGGAATTTCAGGGAAAAATTCATGATCTCGTAGGGCCTGCGTGGGGCCGATTGCAGCTACGTGATCCCTTCCTCATGGTCGCTCACTATTGTAGGGCCTGCGTGGGGCCGATTGCAGCTACGTGATCCCTTCCTCATGGTCGCTCACTCGGTCGTAAAAGAACTCTACCATTTTAGAACCGGCATGCTTGTAGCACTTCATTACTGCAATATTCCAAAGCCAGCATGTACCGTAAGAAAAACAATTGTCCACCTTTTGTCCAAT